TGCTGTTTCTGCCCAATCAAAGGAAGGGGGGTTCCACTGAGTCCCTTGTATTCCCCCCACCCATGTACGCTCGGCTTGTTGTTGCTCTCACCTCCATTTCTCTCTCCTCCCCCTCCCCCCAGTAAAAGGGTTTTGTAAAGGAAGTCCTTCTCCTTTCCACTTTTTTCCAGTCTCTTTCAGTCTCGCCCATTCCCCTGCCCAGGGCTTCTGCAGTATGATCTGTTTCCTCTCTTCAGGGAGAAGTTCTTCTGACTCTGTGAAGATTCTCAGTCATCCAGGTGAGGTTATCTGGAAGTTGAGTCATGGCAACTGGACCTCTTATTAGGTTGAAACTACTTTTGCTATTCTTCCAAGTAGCTTCTTCAGTCTGAGGAGAGTTGGTAGGAGATCCCTGATATATCCTCCACCTTGGTTTCACTTCCCCCTGGTCTGAATAGGCTCGTTAGATGGACAAAGGATTGGGGGTGAATGAAAATCCCACTTCTGCTGCCCTTCTCCACCCATTGTCATGGGTCGCTAACAAAGAAGGGCTGCAGAACTGGGATTTTTATTCACCCCCAGCACTTTGTCCATCTAATGGGCCTATTCTTCTGACTCCTTTTTACTCTCAGACCATCCCACTTCTTCTGTTTTTCTTTTAAACATTTTGTTTTCTCTTCCTTTCCCCTCCTCCTCTTCCTCCCTTTTCCACCTCCCCTAGCAGTCTATTCCTTACTCTGTTCTCTCTTTCATCCCTCCTCCTGATTTTGACAAATGCATCTCCTGTTGTCCTTCCTCTTTCCAGGGCAACAAGCAAGGCACATGGATGGGAAGTGTTTCACTTCTGCCCCTTTCTCTCTCACATAGCACTGCATCAGCTAAGTACTGCAGTTTCACATATCAATTCAGTGCTATGCTACTTGTCCATTTAAAAAAAGCAGAGAAAAGGGCAATGTTAATGACAGAGGAAGACAGGCAACTTGTGCTCTCAGTGAGAACTGTAGCAATTTGAAGTGTAGACTTTTGCCCTGAAAATTGCTCTGGACAACTATATATCCTTTTTGAATGACGTCAGAAAAATAAGCACCATAGTGAATGTTGAATTGACCCTAATCAACACGGAAGAGTTTCCCTCTTGCTTAACTATAGTACAGAGAAATGCATCCAATGTGGTTTTACCTTCATGGTGAAGCAGCAAACTCTTCCCAGCCTCTGCCAACGAATGACTTCTTCGGATCTAGGGAAAGTGTGGGAAACTTTATTCCTTACCACTGAATTATTTCAGGTTTCCATTGAAGGTTTATGCATGAGCAGATAATGAAAAATGGTCACTTAAGCATTAGCAAGGTGAACACTTCCATTTCTAAAACAAAGTTGGGCTATTTATGTCTTTCCAGATATTATTGGCCTCCAGTCGCCATTGTCCCTTGTGAAGACCAAGAAGGGTTGTTGTCCAAAAACATCAGGGAGGTCACAAGTTGTCCATTCTAGCTATAAGGAATCTTTAAAAGTTACTAGGAATTGGATGTGTCATCAAGCAAATCTACTGACTATAGTCATTGAAATCAGTTTAAGGACTTCATGTAATTTTGTGGAGCTCAAAATAACTTGCATCTATTTGTATTCCGTCACCTAATCACATACAGTACTGACTTCCAAATTAGAAATAGCTCTTGAATTCACTCCATATACCGTACCTGTCTCTAAGTCTTCCCCGTGTGTGTTCTTGCCTAAATCCATGCATAGTAGGAAAGTATCTGAATTTTGAAAGTTGCAATTTATTACCAATACAGAGGCAGCCACTTATGCAAAGAACTAGAGATGATTTGCAAAATCATCCAATAAACAGCTGAAGCAGCAAAAACTTCAAAACTTCACCTTCAGGGCCCTTCTATGTTGAACAGAAAAGGCCATGCTGGCCGGAGGACCATAGCCACATTTTTTGAAAGCCTGCCTCTTTTTTGGTATGAAGCAGCCTGAAAATTAGGATGTTTATCGGAGTCAAGCTGTTTTCTGTCTTCTGGGTTGGCCACTGGGGAATGAATCTTGTCAGCAGTAGCACCCAGGAAATGGATTAGCCTCCACACACAACCCCTCTAGGGCCAGAGCAGAGGTATAAAACTTGGGGAAATCTGCTGCACGTATCCTCCAGGAGCCACCCAGAGTGAGCAAAGCCAATATGAAGTGGCCAGATGTTGATTTCCTGCTATGAAAAACTGTGTGCATGAGGAAGAGTGAAACAAACATTGCATGGGATCATTGAGACACATTTAAAATATGTGCTGTGGCTCCTTGGGTCCAGCAATGCACCATTCTTTGCTGGGGAGGTTTTTGTTTTTATGTATTTTGTTTTGAGCAGGTAGCAAGGACATCAGATGGGACCAAGGTCAACAAAAACAGCCCTGGGGAGTATGGGCAAGTAGCATCAGGGCCACACTTGGTTCATCCTGGGCTAATAGAAGTTTTTTACTTTTGCCCTGGATTTTCAACCGTGGCTTGACATTTTAATGCTGGTTTTAGTTACCTTCTTTTCCATTTTTAATATTTGTCTCTGTTCTTTCTTGAATTCATAACTCTTTCAAATTGTTACTTTTATGATTTTGTTGTTGGAAAAATTTACTTGTTTTTTGTGGGCTACAACTACCAGGACCTTCCACCCGGGATTGCTGATACGTAAAAATCTAAATAAAATAAAATAAAATAATCTGATGGCTGGAGGATGCTGGGAGTTGTAGTTCAAGAAAACTAACTTTTCCACCCTCTGCATATAAACTACTTTTGCTTCCATTTTGTCTGTCTTACCATTTCAGCTGAGAATACTGCAGCTCCTCAGGGAATGTTTAACACTGCTTCTTGTAGTAGCTGATGGTCATCCTAGCTAAATTTTGTACAATCACACAGAGACCCAACATAATCCCAGCAACAACATGTTTCTTTTTATTTTTTATTATTTGGACAATTTATATACATATGTACAAAAAACACCTATGCCTACTTTTTCTTTTTTTACAATTTCATGTGATTTACAAAACAGGACAGCAAAATAACTTAGAAAGGATACGAATACTGTACAAAAATAAAATGGATTAAACTTGTAAAGGTTGGTATTTTACAGTGTTACAGATTTGTTAATCTGTAGTAAAACAGCATACTGAAGAGCATTGGAGGTCTGGTGCACACTGGGCTGAGTCCATTAGCAAACAGAAAAGAGACCTGTGTAGAAGACCTCAAGATTTTTCACAAAAGATGTTGTATAGCTCTAGTTTAAAGCCATGGCTTCTCCAGGAGGAGAGGAGCTGCCTTCTTGTCAGCACTCTTACGGATTTCCAGTGTAACATGGCTCTAGTTTAAAGCCATGGCTTCTCCAGGAAGGTCTTTCAAAACTGAGGAGAGGAGCTGCCTTCATGTTAGCACTCTTACGGATTTCCAGAGTAACGTGGCAACTATATTCACAGAGAACTTGGTTTTGCTTTCTTCTCAACAGCTGCAATTGTCCCTTTCCAAACTCCCTTTTGTTAACAAGATTATGCCTGATTTTACGGCACTGTGAAGTTTGCACATGAAATTCACCGTTTGCTTTTACACCAACATGAAAGTTGTTTTAATTCCTTTGTTGTTGTTAGTGGTTAATCAACTTTGGGCAGCGCCTGATGTTACTTTTGGAAGACTCCTAAGAAGCATGACTTAACACCCCAATGCTAATCATATTACTTTGAAAACAAGTCCCATTGACTTCTGTGAAACTTGTCTTCAAATATGTGTGTGCTGAGAAGTACAGCCAAAGAAAGAGTCTTATGCTTCTAAGAGTGGATTCATGACCCTCCCAATGACTTGGCCTACACATCTTTTCTGGGGCACAGGCATGTAAGTTACTTTTCCCACAATGCAGTTGTGTGGTTGTATTTGGGCCATATTACATGTTTGTTGGCAGTCATAGGTCTGTAAAGCCTTGACACCACTTCTCTGATGCAGGGAAAGGACACTGCTTGCCAGAGAAAAGCAGCAGGACGACACACATCCTGTAGCAGATTTTGTCTCTAACCCACCCCAATTTCCACCTGTTTGACTCAGCTTAGTTAAAATAAGCCAGCTCGGACAAAAGCAGAGCTTGGAAATGTGTGTGTTTCATAATGGCTGGAGGATTCCAAAAGTTAGAACCACCCCCACCCCATCCCCAACGTAGCATTTCCAAGCTCTGGACAAGAGACAGTGGTGGGCGGGGAATATTTAAGCAGCACTCCATTTACTATTTCTGTAACTCATCCTTTCCTTCCCGACAGAGAAGTGGCATCCAAGATTCCTAAAAAATGCCTGCCACTGAACGTGTAGCTCAGTCATTTAAGACCTGGTTATGCACACCTTTATCTATTCAAAGTAGTGTAGGAAGCAGTCCAGTGTCACTCTGTGGCCCAAAGGGCTGGTGCATCTACTGGCCCTGCTGAAGATCTCACGGTGGCAAGTGTTCTTCCACCACAAAAAACCCAGAGCCATGCAGCTTGTAGTGAATGGGTTATCTGGTAACAGTTTGTGTTAGCAAACTAGATGTCTTGTTGCCCTTACCCAACACCATGAGTGAAAACATGCAAAAACAATCGGCAACAAGTCAGACAACCTACTCACGACAACCCTGTGGCCGTGCTAAAAATGAACCCTGCCACCATAAACAAAGTAGCCTTGCACACTTCTCTATAGTAACATTTAAGAGCAGCCTTCTCATAACTTGGCACCCTCCAGGTCTGTTAGACTACATTTCCTATCATCCCCAGCTAGAAGGGTGCTGTAGTCCAACACAGGTGGAGAAGGCCCTGCTTAGCAAAAAGGCTGATTAATAGTATTACACGATTTTGAATATTAAATGTTTTTGGATTTATTTTTGGCTGTTGTTTGGGGGGAAATTAATGGATGGAAGATCATTAAGAGAGAATAAGCCTAAGCCTAAAGTTATACATTCCATGATAGCCTTTGCACATAATTTTTTAAATGAATAAAAGGAATAATTTATGTGATTTTTTTTTTCCTTCTTTCTTTTAAAATATATTCTGCCTACAAGCTGTGCATAAATGCATTTTAGGGCACAGCCAAGTCTTAACTCAGGCTTTTAGATTGGCATGGTTAAGGCAAAGCTTATCTCTGCCTCCCTTAGACCTTCAAGGTCTACGGGGCTAGAAGAATTGTATAACCTCCAGGCGGGGTGGAGGCAGCCACGCAGTGTGAAACTGCATCCAATGGGACTGGAAGCTAAGTGCCTTAACCACCCTGTCACCACACCTGAGCTTTTCATGTGCCTGTGTGACTTGATTCTCTATGAAGGAGGTGTCATTCATGTGCCTCTACCTTGCTTCATAGTAAAGATGAAGTAACTTCATTCAGCATCCCGACTTTATTCAGTTAACACTGCACTTGGCTTTCCTCAGAGCAACAGTATAGCTCCAGTGACTGTTGAATTGATAGGGTTTCCCCGAGAGTTTATGCTCTGAAGAACTGGTCTCACAGAGAAGGGGAGGACAGTTAGAATAACGTGTATTTTTTGGGAGCTGCTGGTCTACCACATGGTCCTCACCCTAATCAAACAAGGCAGCATTAACAGTACTGGTAAAGCAGAATATTTTTTATATGACAGCGATAGAAATAGCGAGGCTATCTACTTTTATAAGGAAGAACAAATGTCCCTACGATTTATTTTGGACACCAGAAATTAATTTTGGTTTATCATAAAACAAACGTTTCAAGAAGCTGAAACGGAGGTAGAAAGTGTGCTTGGTTTCCTGACATGTCTTCACTGAAGAAAACGCATCCCTTTTTCCTTTTGAAATGCCATAGATTGTTCTTTGCCCCTAACACCTCTATTTAGAAGCCATTCTTTTCGCATAGACAGGTTTTATAATGAACCACATAGGTAAAAACGCAAGATGCATACTGAGTTCTAGTGCTGGAAGCCACGGACGATTGTAGAATATTCTACTCTCTGAGATGTTGTTTTATTTTTCTAGGAAGCTAGCTTTTTTTTTTAAAATCAGGTGAAACAAGGAGATACTGTCATTGCAGGTGTACTTTACAAGAGTTGTATATGTACAGATTCTTTACAAAGATGGGGCAAATAGATCCTGGTATAATCCCACTGGCTGCACTGTGAGAGATACGGATATATCTATTTATTTATCTACAGATATATAGATATATCTCACAATGCAGCCATGACAGCTGCACCTATTCTTCCTTCATGCGAAGGAGAAGTAAAGAACAAAAGACTAGGACAATGTTTCTGGGGTTGTTGGGGGTGTCTGTAAACATAATTTCCACCATAACAAGAGATGGGGGGAAGGAAAGTCCATCATTACAACCTTTGTAAGGGTCATGCGTTTAACATTAACAAAGATGACAGGTTGGCTAGATGCAAGAGGTTCCCCCCACCCCCCAAAAGATCTATTTGCTCCTGCTTTAAACAGATGAAATATTGCCATTATCATTAAATGTGTCACACCTGCCACAGAGGGTAAGACTGCAAGGTACGTAGTGGCAAAGCTTTTTATGAAAGTTTTACATACCTCCTGCATGGTAGTTTTGATTACTTAATTGTTATTGTTGTTTTCTTTCCAGACTCTGTACAACAGCTGCAATTTATGAAAAAAAGGTAGAAGTCTGTTGAGAAGTAGGTTTTAAAAATGAATGGTCATCTCCATTTTCATAGAGAATGCTTTGTGGGTGGGGAACAGGTCTGCTCCCTCCATAAATGCACATAGTTCCCATTGGCTGATACAGGAATCTGGCAAGTGGACGAAGAAAATGCACCATTGAGAGAGAGAGAGGGAGACAGTCCTAAGGGGGGGAAAAACCTTTAGAAAAGTGGTAGCTTATCAAGATGGTAGCTGCTGTTATGCATTCATTCCAACAAAACACAGCAGAATAAAGCACTGTTAGTGGTATTCATATAGTACAGTACGGTATACAATTCTCAGATGAAAGTCTAGGAACAGCTGAAAGAGGAAAAAAATGTTTTGATCTCACACTTCTGCCAGAATCTTCAGGGTGGCTTGTGGTGTTGTTATTTTCCACCAATGGCAGGTAAATTGCAGAGCCACGTATGTGTGATACGGGCTTATTCCTTGTTTTCCTTTTTGCTTGGTGATTGGTTTGTATGCATCTTTTCTGTGAAAAAAAGCGTAGCTTATATTCAAAAGTGTAGCTCATTAAAAAAAAAAAGACCTGATTACACTGAACAGGTCTCCTTCTGTATAAATTTCAGCTTCGTTCTTTCATTGTGTTTTCATTTTTGTATACCAATCAGGCAATATGAACAACAGATGTAATGTTTTTTTTTCTTAACAGTCTTGAACAGGATGAATTACTGAGGAAGAGAAGTGAACCTTCTAGCAATGTGCCATGGAGCCTGGTTTATGGAAATACTGAGGTGAGACGGAAAGTGGTTTTACTCATTTTTGTGTGTTTTTTTTGTTTTGTTGTTGTTTCAAATACAAGCAGCATTACATTAGTCAACAAAACATGTCCATGACACAGCAATCACAAAGAGCTTGGAATCACTACTGTGGTGTCACAGGTCAAACCACCCAGTCAGACATATATACACCAGTGTTGATTCTTTATATAAAAAGTTGCATTATTTCTGCTGATCCCCACACGGCCCCCCCTCCCCACTCCCACCCATCAGCCACTGATTTAAGACTGTTGTTGGTAGCATAGCAGGGTGGATGGGACAGAAATGTTAAATCTTTTAACTTCCAGCTACATGTGCTTTAAAATGTAAGTAGGGGAATATCACTGTACAGTGGTGGACGTTTTTGTGCTGATCAGTTACGCCTTTTGCAAGAGGGGGCACCTCCTACTCCACCTCCTCCAGTTGCAGTCTGTCGTTCAAAAGGAGGCAGAGCTGGCCTTTTTCGATCGCTTGATCATGCTGGGGTGGAATTCGGTATGGCGCCGAGCATGCTTTGTCAGGTGGTCACTCCTCATGAACCGCTTCTCACAGAGGGGGCATCGAAACTGCTTCTCCCCAGTGTGGGTTCGGTAGTGCCGTGTAAGCTCATCGGAGCGGGAAAACTTTTTAAGGCAATCTGGCCATGTGCAAGGGAATGGTCGTTCACCTGCAGGATGGAAATGAAAGCACGAGAAGATTACAAGAGAGGAACAGAAATGTGACAGCTGAGGCTCATTTATTTTTCAATAGAGAAAATAATTTGAGAAAAATTAGGTAGCGCTGGGAACAAAACAACATGGTGGCTCACACATTATAGTACAATCATTTCAAAATGTGTTAACAGAATCGAGAATCTGAATTTGAATATCCAAATGAGATGAGGGGAAGCCCTCTGATGAAAAGCCGGTCAAGATACACCAAATAACCAAATATGGTCAATAGGTGCCAAATACACAGCTTTCCACAACGCTCCATTCAGAGGTTCCCATTCCTCCTCTGCAAGGGCTGAATTATATGTTACAGATGTTCTGTCGTTAGCACTGAAGTCGCAATTAGTGTTCAAGAGTCATGACTGAGGCAGTCCTTCGCATCTGAGAAATCCGATTTGCAAAGAACAACATGCTTTTGGCCTGACATGCAATCACAAAACCAAGCAAGTTCTGGAAGGTGGGAAAAGTTCTTGATGTGAGATAGTCAGACACAAGCAGCACTTTAAGGATCTCCTCCTTCTAGTAATGGACTATCTACTATGTATAGTTTGGTCATATGCTATCGAGCAGCTAAACTTGTACCAAGTGTTAAAAACTATACATTTTACTATCGAGCCACAGCTTTTCTCATTCATATTCAGATAGTTGGGTTTTTTTATCTGTGTAGCTCAAAAGAATGGGAAACTCATTGGTGCCTTTAGCTCCAATAGCAACCCAGCAACCGCAGAAATCTCCAGTACTAAGCCCTTTTGCTATGATCAGGGAACTCTCCTGCTTGTGTAACGGCCAAGAGAGAAATCAAATGGTGGATACAAAGCACTCTGCCTGGGAAGCTATTACATTCCAATAGAACAAGATTCTGCCCAACAGTTGCTGCCTTTAAATTTGGCAAATCACAGGTGATGGCGCTACATCAGAAGGGCACCAAGGACTTTACTCTTCATGCGTATCTAGTTACTTTGTTAAACATGAAGTCCAAAAGCCTAAAAGTCATTATAGCTCCTCAGCTCTAACAACAATTCTGATTTGTGAGTTAGAGCAAGAAACAAAGGAAAAGGATGTTATGATTTTCAACAACTTATCACAGGTTAATATTTTTTTTGTGTTATTTGTTCTAGAGGTACTTTCTCCCTCAAATGCATTGTTTTTAATATGTCTCAGTAAACATCAAATGTGAACAAAGATCTGCACAAATAAAGGAGACAAACTTAGCCTGCCAGACTTCCACAAAGGAGATACTGTACGTCTCATATTAACAGAAAGCATCACCAGAATAACTACAGAAAAAGGTTTTCATTTCTTTCTACAGCATTATTAGGATCATCATACAAGCTGGCACAGCCCTACCATTAGACAGATGAAGGCAATTGCCTTACGTAGCCCCCAATCCTTCCTCCTGATTTGCCTGGTTGCTCCTCTCTTTCACATGACAGCTCAACTTTGTGCACCACCACAGTTTGTCCTCCAGTGTCTCCATTATCCTTCTGCCCTCAGAAGAGGTAGAGGACACCTTTTCATTGCCAGTGTTGAAATTAGGTCAATTGGCTAGTCTGGTCTGCTGGTATACATGGAAAGGCCCGGGAAGGGGGCACAACATTCCTGTCTGTCTTGGGCAGCAACATGTCTTCAGAAAGTTTTGTCTCTTCCTGCCCAAGTAGGAACCATCTCAGCATTTCAAAATTCTGTGCATGCAAACACAGCAAGATCAGTTCTTAGATTTACAGATCGGAAAAACAATATACTTGAAAGTATGATCCACCATGACATACCAATTTAACAGATGCCCTCTGCATCAACATGTAGGCAGCAGAGTTATACATCACATATATCTCTATATTCACAAGGGAATTTAAGTGTGCATAGCGGTGCACTATTGTATGGTTGATACACCCATTAGGTCTAAAGCTGCAATCCTTGCGCTGCTATGGGGCTACTTCAAAATAAATTTTCACATGATTTTTTTAAAAATATGGATACTAAAAGTAAACCACAGGAAGACTCTGATTACAGAAGAGTGTTGTTGTTGTTTTTTTACCCTGAACAGGAGGGTGATTATTGAAACCTCATGTATGTGTTTGCTATCAGGGTAGTCTGCCATCTGAATCCTTCCATGTCCTACTGTGTTTCTCCAAAAATAAGACAGGGTCTTATATTAATTTTTGCTCCTGAAAACGCAGTAGGGCTTGTTTTCAGGGGATGTTTTATTTTTTTCTTTTATTATCTACATTTATTCAAATACAGTCATGTCATCTTCTGGTTGTTGCACAAGGGTGGACGGACGGGTTTCACTCAACTGAGGCTCATTTTTGGAGTAGGGCTTATATTATGAGCATCCTGAAAAATCATATTAGGTCTTATTTTCGGGGAAACAGGGTACTGACTTTAAGGGTTTCATTGTTTCACCCGAACATATATATTTCCCCCAATATCTGCCAAAGATGAATGGTTTTTGTTGTTAAATGCAGAAGCAGGCTGGAATGCTGGTGGGAATAGTGTGTACTGTTAAGGTCTTCAGAATATTGCATCTGGGCGGTTGCCATGTGGTACGAGCCAAGGATTGAGAACAAGGACGGCTCAGTTTTCAATGAATCATCTCCACAAACCTGTGTCAGTGTTCTTTCCCTCTTCCCTTTCATGCACACCAGCAGCTTGTAAGATGTGATTAATTATTTTTGTATGTACCCGTCTGCTAAATCTCTCTCACTTGGCATCTTAATAGAGTCAACTGTAGCTGTGAGGAATGAGACTGAAAAGGACTCACATTCCAAATAAATAGAGAAAAATAAATCTGCTCTAACTTCTAATCTGGTTGATTTGATTAATAAAATGTAACTCCATTCCCGCACCCCCAGCCCCAGCCAATTACTTCAAAACACCAAGAAGGACTTGATACAACTGCATGTCAAAACCCACCCGTTTCCCAAGCAAAACGCAGACAGCTCATGACATCTGCTATCACAGCCATTTTACCCTCAGCAAACAACTGTTTTACTCCTACAGACTGGTCTCATAAAAACTAAAACATCCACATCACAGATCTGTGAATATGACATAGCTTGCTTGATACTTGTACCCACACACTACTCTCAGCCCTTTCAAACCCAATGGAGAGGACGGGACTGCAGTGGAAAATGCTGATTCCAGTTCCGAATCCAATGAAACTTACACAAAGAAAAGGTAGACATTGAAGCCCCTAAAGTGTCCCGTCTCTGCAGAACTGCAAGATGTGCATGACCGGTATGACAGAGAGCAAAATGCATTATGTAAATCTCAAGCTATGCATATAAGCTTCTTTGTCACTAAAAATGGAATTTGAGTATAAGTGGAACTTAGGCGAGAGGACAGTGGGTTGAAAAAGCATGGAAAATGTGCTGAAGAGTTTGCAGCTTGCTATGCCTATCCAGAGCCCCTTCATCTATGCAGAATCTGAACAGGACTTCAGAACCCCACATGGGTTTCCTAGTTCGATTCAATGGAAGACTGATGACTAAAAGGACAGCAGCACAGAGAAGCATCTTCTGATGAAGTGAGCCGAAAAGTGAACAGAAATATTGACAAGCGGGTGGGATTCCGTGTGTACTTTTTAGAGATTAGAAAAGTTACTTTTTCTGAATGAAACTCCCAGCATCTCATGCCAATGTGACTACTTGGCCTCAGATTCCATGCATCCATGAGGAAGTGCTACATACATATTCTGAAAGGACGTTCAAAAATCTTATGGACTCAAAACTTATTTTCATAAAAACAAATAACAAAACGAAAGCTGTGATGACTGGGAATCAAAGTGAAATATCAGGTTTGCTGAATATTGTCAGCCCTGTCATTCTAAGTGGATGGGGACACTTTTATGTTCTTCCCAAAGAAATCTCAAAGTAATAAACACAGATATGGATGCCAATTTTTTATTCTTAAATTCTTGGTGATTATGGCAACAGATACAACAGCCAAAATCCTTTTGTTTAGCATAGTAAATTGCACTAGTATACGTCCATACAACAGCCAAAATCCTTTTGTTTAGCATTGTAGTATACGTCCGTTGAACGAACGGGGCTTTAGTGGGTCAGGTCTCCTCCATAAGTTCCATCGATTCAAATGGGTCTACTGTAACAGTGACTTACTTTAGCATAATAAGTTGCAGTTAGGAGTAGGCCCATTTAAATCAATAGAACTTACAGAAGAGTTGACTCACTAAATCCCTAGTGATTTAAAGGGCCTTGTCTAGTGTGATTTACTATGCTAAGCAACAGGATTTTGGCCAGAGAGTCAACTTGAATGGCCTTGTAACTACAGTAGTTTAAAAATAACAGAAAATCTGTATTGGATATGTTTAAATGTTTATTTAATTAAATTTCAACAAGAAACCCAAGTTAGGACAAAGTATCTATTTATAATTGAAAATGGTTGTAAACCAATGACTATTTTATCATAAAGTGAGCCCCGTGGCACAGTGGCTAAACTTGCAATGTTTCAGTTAAGTATCTTTCTCATGACTTGAGTTCGATCCCAATGTGTTTGGGTGGCCGGCTCAGTGCTGACTCAGCCATCCATCCTTCGGAGGTCAATAAAATTAGTATCCAGCAATGTTCTCTCTACGCTGCACAGGTGCACGGTTGCACACAGCTGCCTCAGTGCCAGCATTGATGCCTATTTGGTTCCAATCACTGCTGGAATACCCCCCTCCCCCATGCATAGTGTGAGGCCCCTGTTCAGTGCTGGTGGAAATTTATAGGGAATGTTGGTACCTAGATTACTGGAGGACAATGTGTTTTTTTGCATAATTATGTTGTAAACCAGCCAGAAAGTGCTCTAAACACTATGTGGCAGATATAAGTCAAAATAATAAAATAAATAAATGCCCCTGAAGTAACTGAAGTTATTCTATCTTGCTATTTGTGCTTTCCTTACAATAAATTTGGATGATAGTGGGCAAAAAAAGTCAGTTTTTCAAAATAACAGC